TGGCCGCCTGGATCTCGAGCAACTACGGGACTGCGAGCTACGACCCATCGACCAACGAAATTGACGTGGCCTACGACGGCAACCGCCGCATTCTGAACGACCAGGAACTCCGAAACCTCTTCCCCGGCATCGGGAGCTATCCCCCCGGCGCCTCCCCCAGCCGGCCACTCAGCATCAATCACCTCCTGGGCCCCAGCTTCATCGACGGAGCGCTGCAAGTGTTCGGATTTGTGACCATGAATCCCTACAGCGAGCTTTTCCTGCGCTGCTCCACCTTGGCCACCGCAGCCGACATCAAGGGGCCTCTGGGTAATGATATCATTTGCAAATGCATTATTAACGCGGGCCTTGGCTTTGTCATGCAAACCCGCACAGACGAAGGGCATTTCGTCAAGTTACACGGCCCCATTACCCTGCGCACCCTGCGCTTTAAGTTGACAGACGTCGACGGCAACACGGTTAATACCCGCGGGACCAGCGTTTCTTTTGCGATTTTCCTGGATTACGACAATTAATATCTTTAATCTAGAAAAGATGGCTGACAATGCGGAGCCCGCCGTGGCGATGGCTGAGCCGTCGGCTCCTGACACTGCAGAACCTGCTGCAGAACCTGCTGCAGAACCTGCTGCAGAACCTGCAGCAGAACCTGCGGCAGACCAGCCTGCCCCGCAACCCGTGCCGGAACCGCCGAAGCCCGCCGAGCCCCCCGCCCCCAAGCGGAGAGGCAGACCTCCAGGCTCGAAGAACAAGCCGAAGCCGCCCAAGACGGTGCCCGCCGAAGAAATCCCAGCATCGGCTCCGGAGTCCGCGCAGCTTCCACCGAGGGCTCAGCCCGAGGCTTCGCAGGCTCCGAGTCCGCCTGCCGAGCCTGCCCGTCCCGAGCCCCCCTCGGAGCCCGTTAGGATGACGCCAGCGCAAGAGCGGGCCCTAAGGTACATGCAACGACAGGACAGGTATATGGAGTTGCTCACGCGAAATACGCACGAACTGTAAAAGGAACGATGATGCCCCTCGAGCGGCGCAACGAACCCCAGATGCTGCGGCAGTTCAGCCGGCTGTATCCCAGCTATAACCTCAATCCCCTGCTGCGCCGGCGGCATCAGCAACTAATCGAAAGCCAAGCCCTCAATGAATGGCTGGCCAACCGGCGCCTCCGCCAAGAAGGCGAGAGCTACGCCGACGAGCTCGGCAGAATGACTGAAGCGGTCAACCGCCGCATCCCCCAGCTCCGCTACGCTCCGGCGGAGCGGGCGGGCGTTCACAGGATGGCTCGGGACGTCGCGGCTGATAGAGGCACGAGCGACTCCCATACGGCGGGCTGATGTAAGTAAATGGAAGAGCGCAGAAGCAACGGCTTCCGCGTCCGGCCCTCCTTTGGTCAAGTGCTGGGCTATATCCAGGAAGGCGAGCCCCTGAACCTGGACCTGCCCAACCGCAAAGCGAGCATCTACACATCCAGTCACTTCTATCTCGATGATTACCCCAATGCCCCGGAGCCCATCAGCGATGCGCCGATGCCGCACACCCAACTAAACCCGCGGCTGCCTTCGAGACGGCCGACGAGGGCTACGACGGAGTGCCCTTCCCCCGCCCGCCCAGAGAGTTCACCAGGCCCAGCTTCCTGCCGGACAGCGACGACGGGGGCATGGACCCAGGCCAGGCCCTGCGCAACGACGGCCTGAACCCACCAAGGCCCCCGACGCTCGGAGGCCGGCTGCGGGAGTCGGGCATCCAGGCGGCAGAGACGATCATCGCGGGAGGCGCGGCGGGTGCGGCGGCCGCGGCGCGCAGCGTGGGCGAGAACGGCGCCTTCAACATCCTCAACCGCGGAGGCGGCTGGCTCGACAGAACCCTGAGGATCCCCAGGCGCCCGCCCGGATTGGGCCCGCCGCCCGACGAAGTGCCCCCGCCGCAAATCATCGGAAGGCCCAGGCGAGGTGGAGCCCTTGCTGGAGCGGGCCGGCCAGAGAGCCGCGGAGGTGGAGCGTGCGGCCGCGCAAGACATCGAGGCTTTCGCCTCGCAGCAGGTGGCAGAAGCAGAAGCTTCCGAAGGCTTTGCGACGGCGGCGGAGGCTGCGGCGGCAGGGGCCGAAGCAGCAACTGCGGCGGAAGCTGGTGGAGGAGCTTTGGCATTGCTCGGCGAGGGAGCCCTGGCGACGGCAGGGACCGTCGGCGCGGCGGCGGGAGGCTTGGCCGTTGCTTCGGCCGGCGCGGCGCTGGTGGGCACGGCCTGGGCCATCGAAGGAGGTTTGAACGCGGCGTCGCACATGATGGGCTGGGGCGCGGCCACGGGAGGCGGCACGGACTCCGATGCCTCAAGGGCCAGCCGCGCAACGGATGTGCAGACGCTGAACGTGATGCAAGAATCGGGGGCGGTCGATCACTTCCAGGTTCAGGAGATGCGCCGGCAGCAGCGCCCGCAGGTCTTCCGCATTGACACGTCGGAGGAAGAGCCCCAGCCGCAGGCACAGCAACGCATCGTGGCCCGCCCAGCTCGGCGCCCGAGGGCACAGGTACCCACACCTTTTGGCCTCAACAACGCTCCCATCCCGGTCTCTTCCGACAGCGACCGGTCCCGCATCAGCCGGCAATCCCGCTCCGACCGCGGGCCTTTGGGGACCCAGCCGTCGTTCGACCAGTTGAGGAACGAACCAGAACTTGCGTAGTAGTAAAGGGTCATGCAGAACGTCACCGAAGCGGTGCAAGACGAGCTCGTCAAGAGCCTCGATTACAAGCTTGGGAGCAGCAACGTCAATTACATTCAGAGTCGAAAAGACGTCCAATATTTCCCAAGTTCGCTCAGTACCTTCACGCCCACGACATCCCGTGTGGCAAGAATTCCTCTGACAAGCTCAATGGATTTCATAGATCCTGAGAGCGTCAAGATCGCTTTCCGGGTGCGTAACAACTCCGCCACCCTGGGCCTGAACCCCGGCACGCAGGAGCCCTCGTGCTTCATCAAGCGCGTCCAGCTCTTCGCAAATGGCCAGCGCTGCGACGACATCAGCGAATACGGGCGCTGCTGCTACCTGTACTCACTACTCAAGCCACAAGAGTGGTACAGCAACAAGGGCATCACGGGCTTCTGGGAGGTCGGCGGCGCGCCGGCGCCCGTCCCCGCGGAGAGCTTCAAGGACGTCCTGATGGCACCCACGCTCATCGGGATGTTCCAGGCGGGCAAGTTCCTACCGCCCCAGTTAAATTTAGTGCTCGAACTGGAATTTAGTGAGGCTGCCGACGCCCTGCGTCCCGGCGAGGGTTCGACGGATTACACCATCGAAAACGTCCGAGTTTTGGCCAGCCAGGTCACCCTGGACTCGGCCTTGTACGAAAGCTACCAAAAGATCCTCCTGTCAGGCCGCAGCCTCGTCTTCGCGTACCCCACGATGCACACGCAGGTCTCCAGCATCCCCGCCGGCAGCACTTCTTTCAACGTCACGGTGGCTCGAGCCTTCACAAAATTGCTCGGCGCCTTCGTCACCTTCCGGGACATTGACGATTTGCAGCTCGGCGAGTGCTCCAATTTTGAACACCCCGGCGATGGCAGCAAGTTCTCGGCGAACTCCCTCGAGTCCCAAATGCAGCTGGGCGCGCTCCAATATCCCCGCTATCCCATGGCCAGCGACGCCGAGCACTTCCACTTCCTCGAGATTTTGGCAGGAACCTACGATTCGAGCATCAAAAACATGCGAATCTCCGATAATCTGTGGAACAACACGGAGTTCATTTGCGCTTTCCCCGTGGAGCGTGTGCCCAAGCACCCCTTGAGTGGCATCAGCACGCGCTCCGGCGACCTCGCAAGGTTCACTTTCAAGAACATGCAGGCGGACCGGGTACAGCGCATCTACATCCACCTGCTCAGTTACCAGATCGTGACGGTCTCCGGCAGCGGAGTCAGCGTCTTGGACTAGATGTAAATGAGTTTGTTTCCCTCCACCCTCACCGGGCGGATCCTGGATGACGGCGCAACACCCCCGCCGGTGATAGAGCTGCAAGGAATTAGTGCTGGCCAACTGGCCACAGTCCTCACCGCTTATACCCCACAGACGGAGCACACGGCAAACACCGCGGCCATCGGAGTCAACGCCGCCGCCATCGCGGCGCTGCAGGGCCAGGTGGCCGCCCTGCCCGCAGCTCCCGATCTAACTCCTTACGCCCTGGCAGCGGACCTCGCGGCAGCCGAGGGCTCCATCGCAGCCAACGCTTCCGGCCTCACGGCCGTGAACACCAGCCTGACCCAGGGCCTGGCTACCAAAGCCAACCAGTCCGCTTTGGATGCTCTCCAAGTCGAAGTCAACGGCAAGAGCACGCCCGCTTCAGTAGACCTCAAGCTCGCCAACCACCCGACCGCGGCGGCGATGAACAGCAGCATCGCTTCGGCCAACAACGCAACGCTGGCCAGCGTAGCAGCAACCTATGCTCTGAAAACGGTCGTGGACCAGCTGGCGATCGATCTGGCGGCTAGGCAAACAGCCGCCGACGTGGACCAGCGAGTCGCCACCGCTCTTTTGGCCTACGTCCAGCAAGCGGCTCTGGACGCCGCATTGGCGCTCAGAGACAGCCGGCTGGACGGCCACGACGCCGACATCTTGGCCCTGCAGAGCGCGGGCCCTTTCGCCCTGCCCAGCGAGATCACAGCGCTGCAGGCGGCCATTGACAGCATCCTGGCGGAGATCGCCACCCTGGGCGGGGCCACCAATCTGGTCAACGCCCCCGCCTGGGTGGGGAATGTGACCTTCGACCTACTGGCCGGGACAAATCAAATTAGAAACTTGCACGCCACGGGTCCCCTGAGCATCTCCCTCGCGAACGACAATTGGACCCTGTCCTTCGCCTGCGACAGTTACAGTCGCGGGGAGACGGACGCCCTGCTGGCGCCGCTGGCCAGCGAGGCTTGGGTCAGCAACGAGATTCTGGCCGCCCTGGCCGCCTACAGCACGACGGCCCAGGTGGGCACGGCGATCGCCGATGCACTGGGACCCTACAGCAGCACCTCGGAGATGAACACCACCATCTCCGATGCCATCGATGCCCTGAACGTCGGGCAGTACCAAGACGCTGCGGGGGTGCAGTTCCTGATCGACCAGGCCCTGCTGGCTTATTGGACCCAAGCGGAGGTCTCGAGCTTCGTTGCGGGAGAGCTGGCCAACTACGCCACGACTGCATCCGTCAGCTCCAGCATCAGCTCGGCCCTGTCGAGTTATGATGATTCCAGTCAAGTCGACAGCAAGATAATAACTGCTCTGCTGGATTTCTACACGAGGGCCGAAGTAGATCAGGCCATCGCCGATGCCACGTCGGGCTCGGTGGACCTATCGGCTTACTACACCTCCGCCGAGACGGAGAGCTACGTGGCCAACGAGCTCCTTGCGTATTATCCCCGCACGGAGCTGGACAGCCAGCTCACAGCCACTTTCACGCAGTATTGGACGTCGGGACGCACCCAAACGGAAATCGACGACGCCATCGCCGGCGCGGGCTTTCAGACTCAAGCGGATGCGGACTTACGCTACTTCGTGCGGGCTCCCGGTGCGGAGTCGGGCCAGATTTTCAACTTGGTTCAAGAACAGTTCACGCCCAGGATCATCCGCAATTTGCTGTTGGAGGCGCCCCTGTCGGGCGATGCCATTCTCGGCAACCAAAGCACGTTGCGGCTCCGCTGCGACTCTTGGACCAAGGCGGAGGCGGACAGCCGGTTCCTGCGGACGAACGACCTGGGCCCACTCGATGCCCGCTACTTCGTCAACAGCCCCGGTGCAGAGGGCGGCGGGATCTTCAATTTGGTCCAGACCCAGTTCACGCCCCGGATCATCCGGAACCTCCTGTGCCAAACGCCCCTCTCCGCCCAGCCCATCCTGGGCAACGGCAGCACCCTCCAGATCTCCTGCGACTGCTGGAGCAAGGGCCAAAGTGACACCCGCTACCCCCTCATCGCAAATTTTAACTCCCTAGGCCAGCGAGTCACGGACCTCGAGAACAGCCCGGGCGTGGACCCCACGGCGGACCTCACCGTCAATAGCCTCACGGCCACGAGCTTCGTGCAGACACCACTGCTGCAAAGCGCTGCAGCCGATCTCGAAATCCGGAATGCCACCACCACCATCCGTGCCGAAGACGGCACGCTGCTGGCCTCCTTCACCGCCGGAAGCATCGGCCTGGAGCAAGACATCACTGTGCGCTCGGACCGCACTTTGAATGCAACCACGGCGGACTTCGCCCAGTTCTTCGTCGGCAGCACCGCTGCCACGGGGACCTTCAGCAGCAGCAGCTCCGTGGCGGTTACGCAGGAGATCACGAGCGACCTCAGGCTCGAGGCGCCTCTGGTGCGCTCCGATCCGGCGGCCCCCTGGCTCACCGTCCAGGGCGGCACCAACGGGATTCTGATGGACGACACGGTGCGGATCAACGGGGTCTTGGGCCCCGAAGCCAGCCTGCCCTTCCTGAGCCTCTCGGGCGGGACCAGCGGCGTGCAGGTGCTCTCCCCGCTGCTGGAGCAAATCGCCGTGGGACCCACGGACGGCACGGTGGGAGTGGTGGTGCGCAACGCCGCCGCGACGGGGGAGGCGGCGCTGCTTTTGGACGCCAACAACCAAGCCGGCGTGGCGGAGCTCAAGGTGCGGGCGGGCGGCAATTGCGAGCTCAACGCCCAGTTCCAGTTCATCAGTTTCAACACGACCAACGGCCTGGCCAATCTGGCCATCGAGCCCAACATCGGGGGCAGCAACGATGGGGAGGTGATCTTCGGGTATGGGTTTGTCAATCTGAGCGACCGGGCGCTCAAGGAGAACGTCCGGGCCATTCCGGACGAGGAGCTGCAAGAGACTTTTGACGCCGTGGAGCCGCAGCTCTTCGACCGCATCGACGGCGGCAAGGAGCAGATCGGCTTCGTGGCCCAGGACGTGCAGGCCAGCGGCAAGCTGGGGGCGACGATGTGCAAGATGAAGAACCTGGACGGCCGGGAGCTGATGGCCCTTGACTACCAGAAGCTCTCGGTGGTGCTCTGGGGCGTGGTCAAGAAGCTCCAGAAGCGGGTGGAGGCCCTGGAGAAGAAGAAGAAGCGCAAGGACTCGGACTAAAGGAAAATGGCGGAGGAGGAAGCCGTCGGGCTTTTCCAGCAGCTGGCCCGCGACTTCAATGTCCGGGACCCCAGGAAGCTCTATCAGATCGCCCGGCGGGAGTTTCCGGGGCGGCGAGATCTAACCTCGGCGCGGGCCCAGGCGGCATTGCGCAGCGACGTGGCGAGGCAGGTCCTCGCACCGAAGCCGCGGAGTCTGGGGAAGAGTGCGGCGGAGGGGCCGAACGACCGCCTGCAGGCGGACCTCATCGATTTCGCCCAAAACACGCGGGGGCCAAACAAGTTCGGGCTTGTGGTCACGGACGTGTTCACCAGGGAGGTGGCCACGAAGGCCCTGCCCGACAAGCGGGCGGAGACGGTGACCCGGGCGGCGGCAGAGATCATCCCTAATCTGGTCCAGGATGAAGGCAACTACGTCGTGACGACGGATCAAGGGAACGAGTTCAGAGGGCTGGAAGCGGCCCTGCCCGGAGGCGTGGTGCACCGCCAGAAGGACCCCAGCGATCGGAATGCGACGGCGGTCATCGATCGAGCGATCCAAACGTTGAAGAAGGATTTGGCAGGCGAGGTGGCCCGGCACGGCGGTGGATGGGGGGATCACGTCGACGAGGCAACAGAGGCCTACAATGCCCGGCCGCACCAGGCGGTGACGGTGGCTCCGGAGGATGTCGAGACGATGCCGGCAGCCACCTTTCGCGTTTATCAAGATAACGCAGCCAAGTTCCAGCACAATAAGGAGCTTACGGAAGGCCGCAAACGCCGATTGGAAGAAGCGGGCGCCTTCAGGGCTCCGACAAATGCAAGAAGAAGCTTCGAACCGCAGTACGGACCTGCTCGCGATGTTGCCAGCATTGATTCCATGGTTGTTCGAGCCACAGATGGAACCGAAACTCTGTTGAAACATGCACTTCCAGTTCCGAGAGGCAGTGCCGAACCCAAAGCCAAATTAACTCGACCTCCCGTGCCTCTTGCCATTCGCCAGCTTCGAGACTTCAATCCTGGACCCGTCGCCCCGTCCTAATCTTCATGAACGAGAATGAGCCCGGAGCTTTCATCCGCGTGTGAAGCTATCATGCAAACGCCTTCCGAAGAGCATGTCGTTCTCTTACTCGATGCTTGGTCGCCACAATGGACATGGCGGGGTCGGCAACGAGCCATAGGAACTGGAGCATTCGATCGGTACTGCACTTTAGGCTTGTTCGCTCATGGAGGCAATGCTCCCAGCGTATCGAAAGCTTCCTTAATGAAAGAAGCATGCATAGCACTCAACCGTTTCATGCGACATCGCTTTCCAAATGGAACCTGGACTTCCATAGCCCTGCTGCTCAATCCTCGAATCGGACTGCATCGCGACGTGCAAAACATGGTTGGGAAATTGAATCATGCTCTCACTCTCGGAAACTTCACGGGAGGCAAAGTATGGATTGAAGACGACGAAGGCACTTCAATCGAAAAACTAAGCAAAAACAACAAAGCTTATGAACTCAAAGGTTCGTGGGTCGACATTCATGACAAGCCCATGTCTTTCAACGCAAGACGCTATCATAAAATCGAGCCACATGAAGGTCATATGTGGGCGCTGGCAGCATACACACCGCAATCGTTTCGACGCTGCTCCGATGAAGTGTACTCACAGCTGAAAGAACTCGATTTTCCATGCAAAAGGGAATTCGAATGAAAGACTGGCAGGCCGAGCTGGCGAACTCCGATCCCGCCAGGCCGCACCATGACCCAAAAGATTTTGCATGGACTTTGCGCGCACTTTGGAGCCTTCTAAAAGCCAGCTCTGGGCCTTCTAGGCCGAAAGCGTACTAGCAGCATCTGCTTTTTCGCATTTGCGAACCAGCCAGCTTTTGAAGGCAAACTTGCCCGGACGAACTCGTGACCTCTCTCTTACATCGATGTTTCAAAAACTGAGCTACGTCGTGGTGATCTCTGGCTGTTTCGTTTATGGGGTAAGTCCTTCTCTCCGTTTAGGATCGTCAACCACCTACTAAAGAAGTTTCAACATGCCTATCGGCACTTTAAGAGGAAGCATGAACGTGCACGAGCCTGAAGACACCGAGAGACAAAGTGGTCCGGTATCGCAGGAAAAGATACTGCTGCAGGCAGGCTGTGGTTCTCGCCCAAACGGGCCTGAGAGGCGCTGCGGCTCTACTGCAGAAATTCACCATTGCGAAGTTTGAGCAAGAGCATGAGAGTGGGTGGGTGAAGTGGCGGGTGAGATGGGTGAGGTGAGCGAGGTGTGAGTGCGGTGAGTGAGGTGTGTGAGATCAAGTGGTGACCGGAAAGGGCTTTACAAACATTTTCCAATGCAGTTTCTACGTGGCCTATGAAATACAAAACTGCTGTGAAACATTTGCTAAACTGGAAGAAAGCGCCAAAAACAAGAAGAACTTGCCGGAAAGGCTTTACAAGCTATTTTCCAAATGTAGTGGTACGGAAAGAGGCCTATGAAATGCAAAACGGCTGTGAAACACTTGCTAAACACTGGAAGAAATGGGCAAAGAATTTGCCGGAAAGGCGTTACAAACAATTTTCCAAAGACAGTGGTACGGAACGCGCGGCTTTTGAAACGTGGTCTATGAAATGCAAAACAGCTGTGAAAAACATTTGCTAAACACTGGAAGATAGGGCCAAAAACAAAAGAACTTGCCGGAAAGGCGTTACAAGCAATTTTCCAAATGCAGTGGTACGGACTCTGCGGCTTTTGAATTGTGGCTATGAAAATGCAAAACGGCTGTGAAACACTTGCTAAACACTGGAAGAAATGGCCAAACAGAAGAAGAATTTGCCGGAAAGGCTTTACAAACAATTTTCCAAATGCAGTGGTGCGGACTCTGCGGCTTTTTGAAAATCCCATTTGACCTTGGAGGTCCTGATGTTTTCGGCACGCCTGAAGCTGTGAGGTGGGAGAACCAGTGCATCTTTCTGTTGTCGGAGGACAGCGTCTATGGCTCTCGGTCCTGGATCCTGCACGGAGCGCTGGTGACGGTACCTGGATCGACCTTTTAAGAGCAATGAGGGGCCTGTTCTTATCCCATTGATGCCCCTGCTCCGCGTTGAAGTGCCAGGCACGAAACCCCTCGACATCTTCACGAATTAGTATTGCTCGATAAGTAGACGCCCCAACGTCATTAGAGAGCATGCGCGCTTTACGCACCCGCAATGTTACGACACCATGGCCTTGTGGGAGAGCATGGGGCCAAAACACCCGGCTCCTGAGGCGGCGCCAGCCTTCTGCTTCCTCATTGTGCAAAACTTTGTCTAAGTAAGACGCGACATTGCCGGAACGATATGTCGGAATTCCCCCTCGAGACTTAACGCAGGAGCCCTCCGCACAGAAGAGTTCCCACAGGTCTGGCTGCTTTTCGGCCATGTGGTTGAAGTCTCCCATTCATACACACAGATAATCTCACAGTGATGTGCAAAATGTTGGACTCTTGCTGACACGATCAAGCCTGGCAGAATCTCAGTCTGCGAGGTGAGGGTGAAAGGAGCTGGGACCAGAATAGCGACGTCCGAGCTGCAGCTAACTGATGCGGAGATCGCTGGGATGCAATTGCCGCACGTGGAAAAGTATGTGCAGCGGCTACCGGGCCTGCGGCATCCCAATTTGTTTCCTGAAGACACACCGGACCTTTCTTTAGCAGACTAAGGATCGTGTTGTTTTGCACAGCGCCGAAGTCTCGTCCACACAGTGTAACTTGAGACGTTCCATGTGGATACTTGAAATGACAGGCCAACACCAGTGGAAGGGTCGGACGATGTCTTTGTCGCTGCTTCTGTTGCGCCTGAAAAGCCACAAGGCCCCAGCCTGCACTCCTGCTTGCGCTTTCCGCAGAACCATCCGTGTAGCAATGTAACACATCCAAACTCGCATCGTCACATCCTTCTGAGAACTTCTCGGTGACAGTGTGTTCAGGCAAACGTATGTCCTGATCTGCAAGCACAGACTCCACGAAAGCCGTGTATTGTTGTCTCCCCATTTCGTGTCCGTCAAGAGTACTATGGACCAGCCTCGGTGTTCCCAAAGCTTGCTGATCTGCTTGAATTTGAGGCGCGGATCATGTTTGCCCTGTGTGGCCCCCAATTGTCGTGTGTTCCATGTTCCAATGCGAACCAGTCGTCTCCGCTTCATTTTTGTGACCGACAAGGTTGCAAACTTACTTTCTCCATGCTATCCGTTTTCTTTTTCCTTCACGTCGTAATTTCTCCCTACTTGCCTCTTGCAGTATGGATGGCTCGTTCCCCCTGAATGGTCCGAGGAAGCGTGAACGCGGTCGAAACCTATAAATTTGTTTGTGTGAGTGTCTGGGTGGATGTGGCGGGTGAGGGTGTGATGGTGGTTGAGTGAGTGCGATTGGCGTCGCGGTATCTTTGGCGTTATCTCGGGTGTGTCCTAGTGCATGAAGTTGTGCTAAAATGAGCCCAAAAGTCATCGTAGTGGCGGCATCGTAGTTTCTGGGAAAAGCGGGTGTAGACACGAGATGTGTGTTACACTAGACTAACAATGATCATGTTTGCGGCTCCTCTTCTCCCTGCTAAGCATCCTGTTTTTGCACCGCTGCTCGGTTCCATAGATCACACAGCTCAGCATGTACAGCAGCCAAAAGTCGCAGAGGCGAAAGGGCTGGAGCCCGAAAAGCCGAGGCCTGACTGAAAGTTCGTGGCCTCGAAGAGGGCTGTACATGTAACCACGTATGTGTAGGAACCGGCCGTGAGTAGGAGCACACGGCGAGTCCGCGGCTCGTTTGCCAAAGCTCGGCAGCAGCGAAGAGGCGCGTCAGTTGCTGAGAATAACAAAAGGAAAAAGCGCAGCGATTTGTCGGAGGCGGATGCGGGAGTCCGGTCCGGCTTCAAGCAGCGCATTCAGGGCGGCGACCTCCTGCAAGTAGTGAACCAAGGTGTGCTGGTGCTTCAGACGGCACCACCCCCGCGCAGCCCACCGGGGGTGAGTGCCGACCGGTCCAGACCGAGGATCCCCAGCAGCATGTCCCATCGCCAGAAGGCCCAAAAGGATAGACCGGCTCCTCCCAGGTAAGGCCGACACAGGCAGCGGAGATCAGCTCGACAGCGGGAGCGAAGTCAGATGCTGAGTGCGGGGCCCGCCGCGGCCTGCAGTCTTGGGCCCAACGAGCTTGACAAAGATCGCGCAGAAACCTCCCAAGTGGTCATCATCAGATACAAGTTGCTGGGTCAGGGCAAGTATTGCCCCCCCAAGTAGTTCCTGAAAAGACTCCAAGCTTCCAGGCTGTGGCGGGTAGCCCAGAACAAGGGCAAGGAGGGAAAAAGGCTCCTGACAGCCACTTGTGTGTGGCAAGTGACCAGCCTTCCACTGATCCAAAAGAGCATCCAAGCACTGTGTGACAGACGCTTGGCACACCACAGGTGGAGAATTGGCAAAGGATAAGGTTGCTCTGAGGACGGCTAGCGTTGGGAAGGTTATGGGGACGCCCTGTAAATGCCAAATCAAATTTAATGACCGTACACGACACCGCTTGGTGTGGGCTGTGTAGCTAAGAATTGGGAGCAACGTTGTAGAGTCGCCCTCACAAGAGGGTGTATAAGGGAGGTTGTGGCAACAGTCATCCTCCTTTGAGTGCTATACTTGTGGCTGGTTGCGGCACATAGCCGGGGACGACCATTATAGTTGCTTCATTCTCAGCTACTGGGGCAAGCTTGATCAACGCAGTGTGTGTACGGGATTTGGCATCGAGGCCATCAGGCAGCCAAGCAATAGGTGTCAGTGTTGCAGGCTGTTGAGCAGGCCATTCGACATCATAAACACAAACTCCAGAGGGCTGGCCAGTGCAGCCATTGAGCAATGTAAAAATGATATTGAGCACCTCATGCTCAATGTGGACGGGGTCAATTTCCCGAGACCATAATTCCTCAGTAATGAAAGCATTACCCAATAATGGAATCAATACGAGAACTATGGCCTGGACAAGATGGAAGTGGCCTAATACTGAAAGAGGACCTCCAGATACGCTCAGCGCACAAGCGGCTTCGAATGTCGAACAATTAGAAAGGAGGACAGCTGCATATTCAACTTGAAGATATGCGGTAAGAACCTCAAAGTCACCGGTAGGTAACTTGAGGTGTGGGAAGACAGGGGAGTTGAGGAGGGGCAACACCTTGTCGGTGATGGCCCCTTGGCTGACCTCAGCTTGGAACCAGAGGGCGCCAGTTAAGCTAGGCGGAATGGCAACGAAGCACACTGTGTGAACATGGGCAGCCT